CGGGGGCTTCCCGGGGCCGCTGGGGGCGGGGGGGGGCGGCAGCTGGGAGGGTTCGAGCCAGATGAGTAGAAGGGCTGCTCTCCGTCCTCAGGAGACGCCGTTCCTTCCCTTTCTCCCCTCCCCAGCCTGGTGTTTCACGGCCTCCGTGCAGACGAGCGTGTTCCTTTTACAGCTGCTCATTTTCTGCGTTGTTGAGTGGACTCATAGGTTCCCCACTAAGTGATTTGCATGTGGATTTTTATATTCTGCTAATTCTAACATGACCCGTTGGGCTTTTGTGTCTGTACCTCCTTCCTCACCTCATCACCCCACCCCCCAAAAAGCTGTGATGCTCTGGGGGGTGTTCAGGGTGGTGTGGGAAGGGGGGCTGACTCTGTGTGCGAATATAAAATCTGCTTCACATTCCAAAATAAAAAGGGAATTTGCAAGGGCTGATAGAGCAGGAGCTGTCTTTGATGTATGTTTGAGTGACAGCTGGAATTGTTCTGCTGGTTTTGAGGTTTGGGTTGTATCCTGGTTCCTTGCTTTCAGTCCAAATTTGTTTAAGATGTTTGACGTAACGTTTCTTGGGCCAGCCCATTTCCTCCAGGGCATGAGAACAGTGCTGCAGACCGCGATGCCAAATGTGCTCTTTCTGCTCCCTCATCCCCATTTTTAGACTTACTGGTGAAACTACTGGAATAAACATTTTTTTTCCCTTAAATGTGTGACTTAAAAGTCAACGAATACCTCCTGAGAAGATGTAACCATTCTGACTTTCCTGGAGACTCTTGAGAGGAATTTGAGAAGGGGAGCAGTCTGTCAGTCTGGTGAACAGAAGCATCAGCCTCACCAGGTGCAGTTTCGTTCACCTGCAGAGCTGGCTGGTTGCCATCAGCCTGGTGACCTTGGTCAGCACAGTCGTGCTGGAGCTGGAGGCCCGGGATTTCTCTGGCCTCCAAGAGGGTACGTGTTTAGCAACGTGTGATGCCAGGGGTTTGACCTCTGCTGGCAAGTGCAACTTCCACCTACCTAGGAAATCTGGCAGTGCCAAAAATTAGAACTGCTAAGTGGCTAATTTATGCAAGCATACACTTATTTTCCTAAACTGAGTAAACCTGTGGATGCTGTGACAGTTGTTTTGCGTGGGTATCAACTTCAGGGGTTGCTTTCCAGCATTTAATAGTAGAGACCCCTGTCTGACTTGGTGTATTTTCACTTGACTTTTAATTCTGGGGAGAGAACTGGTCCTGGAACTTGCAGAGTCTGAGAAGAGATTTGGAATAGTTAAAGTTTAAAAAAAAAAAAAAAAAAAGCTCAGCTTATAGTTTTTGTAATACCAAAGATAACGAATACATGCTTAATAGGTGAGGAGTTAACTCATGATAATAGACCTGTCAGCTTGTCATCAATTCCAAGCATAATAAAGAAAGTCAATAAAGATTTAGATTAATAAAGGTTTACACCAGAATGATATAATGCCAATTAACAGAAGGATTGTTAGGGGGATAAATAGCACTTGTCAGATGTCACATATTTAGACTGCACTTTTATTTGATAGTGGTTGTAGTTCTGCAGTGTAGGGCTCTTAAATGTCTGCTTGGCTTGCTACAGCATCTCGTTTGTTGAGTCAGTACTGCATTTTTACTAAGAAACTAGAACGATTCTTCCCAAGTAGATTAAAAAGGGACAAATGATGACTTCTGTAACTATGAAAGAGAGGATTGTTCATTGCAACAGAGTTCTGGCTGGGCTTTGTAGCATCAAGATTTGTTTAGCCTTTGTTTATTTCAAGCTGTAAGAAAAACTATTAACGCTATTAATAAACTATTGAACTGTAAAAATATTAAATGATAAATAAACTATCTAAGCTAATAACTAATAAAAAAGCAAACCCCCTGTTGATAACTACAAGTTCACAGGTGATGGAGTAGCTAATGATGCTCGGTGACCACAGCTGTATTGCCATGGCTGGTTTAAGCTGGTGCTGCTTGTGCCCCCTCCCTGGTGCCAGCCTAAGTGGGAGACAACTGACTTCCTCCCACAGCCTGCTGGTTGATCCTTTCTAATTATTCCTGCATCAGTAATTAAGGTAGAGTGATGAAAACTCAAGGAGACAGCAGAGCAGCAGTGGAAACAGCTCAAGGATTTGTACCATGTGAGCAATCCATCCTACGAAGAGGGAGGGGTGGTGTGAGCTCTGTCAATAGAACTGCGGGACAGCTGGAGGTTCGATGGAGGGCAGTTTCCCGTACTGGTCAGTGGTATTTAAAATGTTGCCTTGCGCGACGCCTGTTCTCCAGGGACTTGAAGTCCCTCTCGGCTAAACCTGTTTCCACTGAGTCTTTCATCAAACCTTTTTCGCGGTGGGGCAGCCTCCTGCCCGCGGACAGCAGCTGTTTCACAGTGCCGGCTTCTCTGCAGCCTCTCCCTGCACCGAGTGTGAGGCTGTTCAGCTGTGGGATAAATGCTTCCAGGCGTAGCCTTTATTCAGCCATGGGGAAGGGAAGGAAAACCAGCAGGGCCTCGGGCCGGCAGCCTCCGGAGCAGGCTTAGAGGATCTCTCTTTCAGCTTCCTCTGTTCCCTGTCCAAAAGGGAGTTTGAGAACTGCTCAGAAAGCTGCTACCGAACAGCGTGTGCTGCAGCCTGCTGTTAGCTGGCGTGAGTCTGAGTGACAGGGTCTTCGGAGGCCGGACGTCAGCTTTGCTCACGAAACAGTGTGTTCAGCTTAGCAAAACATCAGTGGTGATATGCAAGGATGCACGAGGACAGTTTGAAGTTGGAGGTTATGTGTGCATCACCAGACGCTGTTGTCTGAAGCTTTACAGTAAAGATTGTTTATTTTTGTCACGGGTTCCTTTGGCAGAAGCCAGAATGCAAATTTATGCCTTGCTGTGTCCCCAGCTGCCCCGTGATGGCTTACCCGACTGAGGCAGAGACCGTAGTTTGAGGATGGTGTTCAGAGGGCTGCTGTCAGTGAGCTTCACACGTTTCCTTCATTCTGGCTGCACACAGAGCACTTCTAACTTCTGCTTCCTGAAGCTTTTATTTTAAGTGCTTTTTTTTTTTTTTTTTTTTTAAACCTGGAATTGATGTTTTATTAATTGAAAGAAGTTTTTAAGCACGCTTAAGTGACTTCTAGTATGGCTTGTTTGATAAAGATCATCATCACAGCTTTCACGTTTAACTTATATGGATCTTGTCTAGAGTTTCGGATTATATAAACAAGATGCAGGAGAGCCTGTCAGGTTGATCTGCTTTCCTTGGCTCGTGACCAGGACTTCTGAGAGGGCTGCAGTTGAGAAGTCCTGGTTTGATCAGTTCTGTCGGGCCCTGGTGCTGCGGGTGCAGTGTGGCTGTAACTCGTATCAATAAACAGGAGGTGGCAGTGGGTGGTACGTAAACAAGAGACCATTTCTCTGCAGAGGCGTAACATACACTGGATGGGCTAAACCCCAGTTTATTCAAATATGTTGTTTAAAGCAGGAAATGCAGTTTCCTGAAGGGATATTGCACCTCATCTAACCTAACTGATCAGCAAGAGAAAAAATATCATCAAATTTTAAAATGGAGAAAGAAAAGTTGCATTTCCTGTGACTGTACGAGTCATTTGGTGGTGCTGCCCAGCGTGTGTGCTTTCTTTGGGGCCAGCTGCTGTGCGCCGTGCGGTTCTCTTGCTTGTGATGTGGTTGTTGCTTTTTCCTCAAAATCGCTGCATTAGGGCACTCTAGAACATTTTGTTTCTCTTCGTGTAACACCTGTACAGCCCAGCTGGCCACCCCCTTCTCTTACTGGGCTCACACAGCCCTGTTACCAGCTTGCGCCCGACCTCTGCTCTGTCCGTCCTTCCGCAGTGTTGCCTGTGCCCTGCCACCCCAGAGCACAGCTGCCTGGGTGGGCTCGTGGCGTGGGGCTTTAGCTGTGTCACTGCTCTTGCTGGCTTCCTCCTGCACCCCAGTATCTCTTCCCATAGCCTCAGCTCTTCAGCATTTACAGACCCTCGAATGAAATCACCCCTCTGCTGCATCTGATGAGATCTTACACTTGACGCCTTTTTCAGCCTTTCTCCATCTCTACTCATCATCTCTCCTTCAGCGCTGCCTGTTCGTTGTCCTGCTCAGCGCGTTGCCGGGCTGCTTTGCTCGTTGGGTCAATCCGTAGGCAGACACCACATTGACCCCGTTTTCTTCCATTCCTGCCCCCATCCGTCTGGATCCCCCGTTGTCTCCTGGTCTGTAGGCTGTGTGACCTTTCTGGTGCTTTCTTCTGTCAGTGCCCATTACAGAAGGGGTTCTTCATCCATGACATAAGTCTTATAGCAGCGGTTATTAGTCCTGATTAGCAGTGATTCTCAAATAACTCTGGGGCATCATAAGTTCGAAACTAAGGACAAGAGCAGATTAGGCAGCCCAAAGCTCAGGACCATTTCTCATCTGCCTGTGTGACTCGTGGTGTGACAATGAACTTTTCCTAGGTTGGTTCGAATGTCAGCAGACTATCTGGGACACCAAAGGAGCATACGTAGTGCTGTCTACTTTAGAAAACTCCCTGTTTACAAAACCCTGTTCTCTGCCAAGTACTGAATGTTGCGCTGTTTCTTTTTCAGTACCAAAGAAATGTCAGAAGGCTCGTGAACACTTTGGTACAGTGAGAACACAGCTGGAATCTCTGAAGACCAAGTTTCCCGCTGATCAGTATTACAGGTGTGCAGGATCACACACAGCCAGACGTGGATATGGGAATTCCTTGGGCGTATTTGGCATCGTTACTTTGGAAGAATGATTTAAAGGTTTATGGGCCCAGTGCTTCTTCCTGGTTGAGAAGTAAATCATGGTAGAGAAGTGTGACGTTTTTATCGATAGCACAGATAAAAAATGCTTTGGCTCAAACACGCTATTTATAGCTTTTCACTAAAAATATCCAGTACTTAATTCTTTTTCTATAAACTTTTTAAAAAAAGGAAAGTTTAAGAAATCGGTGTTCTGTTGGAGCTGCCCTTGTTTCGGGGAGCAAAGCATTTGCTGCTCCATTAATTTCAGTTAAGTTAGGTTTGGGGCATTTCTGAAAAGAGAGCTCTAAATCTGTCATGAAATGGCTGTTTGATACTGCGGATGCTAAATGAAGTTGTCACCTGTGTGTTGTGTTTGCTGCCCGAAGGGGACAGTGTCTAGCAAGAACATTTCAAAGAACAAGAATCTTGTCAGCTCAGATCCGCTGAGGGAAGACGGGAGGGAAAGCCCTGCTTGTCTGGTGGGCACAACAACCTGAAAAACTCCGTGAACCGAGCCCGTGTGCGAGAGGTGCGAGCAAATGCTAGCGTCCAGCGCAGTACGTGGGGTGAAGTTCTGGGGTACCAAGGAGAGGTGACTTAAGCTGGTGTCATTATGATAGGCCAGAAATACTGCAGAGTGCTACGTGTAAAGGTAGAAAACGTAATGTATACATAATGTATGCTTGTTGCCTAACACTCTAGTAATAGATGTTACTTATGTATACCTTGACGCGGTGTTTTCTTCAACAGATTTCACGAGCACTGGAGGTTTGTGCTTCAGCGGTTGGTGTTCCTGGCAGCGTTTGTAGTCTACTTGGAGTCAGAGACGTTAGTGACCCGAGAAGCTGTTGCAGAAATACTTGGGAGTAAGTTAATGTTGTAACTGCAGAGAAAAAGCTTGTGACCTTTTTGGACATTGCAGAACTTCATTTCTTCCCAAGAAATAGGTTCCAAAATTTATCTGGTATCCCATTTCATTATATAAACAACAAACTCTTTTAGAAGGTAGACATCAGCAAACCTAATGTGAACAAAAGTATTTCTTCATTAATAAGTTCCTCATCAATGAAGATTATTCATGCAAATTGCATAAATCTACCAAAAGAAAGTACAAGGATGAGAGCTTATTTTTCTCACTTTTTGCTTTTGGTGTTAAAAAGTGTGGAAAACAGATTAAATTCTTACGCTGCAAGAGAATTGTGTCCTCCCAGAGCAAAGGATTTGACAAAAACCAGGAAAATATTTTTCTAAAAAAACAACCACAGACCCCTCTCCTGTATATTGATGGAGATGCGGTTGTTCTGCTGGATCAGTTGTAACCTATCGCACATCCAGTTGAGGGTGTACGAGATGTTAAATCAAAGCGCTGAGAAGAGGCAGTAATTACATCGCATACAGGAAAAAGCTGACTTCCGTTTTGTAATAATATTTCATACATTCGATCTTTCAAATTAGGACCAGTAAACAAATGCAATTTTAACTCGCTGATTTTGCTCGTGTTCAGTGCCACCTGATTACCACTCTGCTCTTCATCTTAGTTGAAGCTGATCGAGAGCGGGGTTTTCACCTGGACATTGAAGACTACCTTTCTGGTGTACTAACTCTCGCCAGTGAGCTGGTAAGGAAGATACTCACACTCATATTTAGGTTGAAACTGACCAAAAAAAAAAAGCAATGTGTTTTCTGACTTTGCCAAGTTGTGCCTGGATGTTAGGATACGCAACACCTGGATCTGAACTTCTAGCAAACTGCCTCTCTGTATGCCAGAGTTGTTCCTCGCTGATATTTTAAGATTTAAACGAGTCACTGGATTGAAAATCCAGGATTATGGTCAACAAAAAGGTAGATCTAAGTATAAAGAATCTGACTCCGGAGCGCGGCGAACAGGACGGGCAAACAGGGCGTACTGGAGGTTTGTGCTTCAGCGGTTGGTGTTCCTGGCAGCGTTTGTAGTCTACTTGGAGTCAGAGACGTTAGTGACCCGAGAAGCTGTTGCAGAAATACTTGGGAGTAAGTTAATGTTGTAACTGCAGAGAAAAAGCTTGTGACCTTTTTGGACATTGCAGAACTTCATTTCTTCCCAAGAAATAGGTTCCAAAATTTATCTGGTATCCCATTTCATTATATAAACAACAAACTCTTTTAGAAGGTAGACATCAGCAAACCTAATGTGAACAAAAGTATTTCTTCATTAATAAGTTCCTCATCAATGAAGATTATTCATGCAAATTGCATAAATCTACCAAAAGAAAGTACAAGGATGAGAGCTTATTTTTCTCACTTTTTGCTTTTGGTGTTAAAAAGTGTGGAAAACAGATTAAATTCTTACGCTGCAAGAGAATTGTGTCCTCCCAGAGCAAAGGATTTGACAAAAACCAGGAAAATATTTTTCTAAAAAAACAACCACAGACCCCTCTCCTGTATATTGATGGAGATGCGGTTGTTCTGCTGGATCAGTTGTAACCTATCGCACATCCAGTTGAGGGTGTACGAGATGTTAAATCAAAGCGCTGAGAAGAGGCAGTAATTACATCGCATACAGGAAAAAGCTGACTTCCGTTTTGTAATAATATTTCATACATTCGATCTTTCAAATTAGGACCAGTAAACAAATGCAATTTTAACTCGCTGATTTTGCTCGTGTTCAGTGCCACCTGATTACCACTCTGCTCTTCATCTTAGTTGAAGCTGATCGAGAGCGGGGTTTTCACCTGGACATTGAAGACTACCTTTCTGGTGTACTAACTCTCGCCAGTGAGCTGGTAAGGAAGATACTCACACTCATATTTAGGTTGAAACTGACCAAAAAAAAAAAGCAATGTGTTTTCTGACTTTGCCAAGTTGTGCCTGGATGTTAGGATACGCAACACCTGGATCTGAACTTCTAGCAAACTGCCTCTCTGTATGCCAGAGTTGTTCCTCGCTGATATTTTAAGATTTAAACGAGTCACTGGATTGAAAATCCAGGATTATGGTCAACAAAAAGGTAGATCTAAGTATAAAGAATCTGACTGCCCGGAACAAAACTGTTTCATTTGGCAAAGTAACTGATGGGAACAGTGGCGTGATTTGGGTGGGTTCCTCTGCTGATGTTCTCCTGCCTGCCTTCCTCTCGTAGGCCAGACTGGCAGTGAACAGCGTCACGGCTGGTGACTATTCGCGCCCGCTCCGCATCTCAACTTTTATCAACGAGCTGGATTCTGGCTTCCGTCTCCTCAACCTGAAGAATGACTCCCTGAGGAAACGTTACGATGGCCTGAAATACGATGTCAAGAAAATCGAGGAAGTGGTTTACGACTTGTCGATCAGAGGACTCAATAAGGAGGCAACAGTTGGTGCGGGTGGAGAGAAATGAAGGATGCTCGTTTTAACAGCATCATTGATTACCTCAGATGGTTGCCAATTTAGGAAGCATGCTAGCAAAGCCTTCCTACAGTAGTTTAGAAGAACTGCAGCTGAAAGCTGCTCTCTATTTTCTTACAAAAGGTGTAGTACGGGTGTTAGATCTCAAAATGTTTTGTAAAATCATGTCTAGATTAGGGCAGGAGGCTCTCTGTTTCCAGTGGAATTCCTCTGTCAAAACACACGGTGCCGTTCTGTGCGCAGCAGCAACAGTGGTCGGTAACTCCCCTGAGCTGAGATTCGCATTAGTTCCGTAGTGTCGCTTCACTGCTCTGGCAGTGAGGTGCTTCTCACGTCTCGCCTCACTCACTGAGGTGCTTCTCTCTTCTCACGCGCCTTTAGAGACGCGTGCACCGCGTGCAGCTCAGTGCAGGTACACGTACTGTTTTAAAAAACGCAGTGTGTAAATAGCTATACAATTTTTTTAAGACACTGATTTTTTTTTTTGCCTTTCTGTTTCTTAAATTTTCACCTACGTCAGTAAGTTGAACAGATTTGTGTAACTGTTTGTTAACCTCATCTTTTAAAATGGCTTCTGTTAATGTATCTCCCTTAATTGAGAAATTAGTGAAAATATTCCTGAGAATTTCTCCATTGGAACTGGTGTACCACACCCGGGCAGGCTCGGTCGGAATTTTTTTTTTTTTTTTTTTTTTTTTTTTTTTTTCTTTTCTCTCTCTTTCTTGTGTTTTTTCCTTTCCTCCAAGACTTCTGTTCACAGGAAGAGCAGAGTTTTCTCAAGCGTCTGCTTTCACTGGCTGACAACAGTGTGTTTTACTGACATCAGTAAATGTTGAGTTTTAATGTGATCGTTTGCCTTGAGAACTCTGTGTAACCAATTTTTTTTTTTTTAACTACCAAGTTTTCTGAGTAGGGAAGCGGTAACTGATAAACTGCAGGTAGCATCTGAGTTTTAACAACCTATATAGGCCACAACTGTACCTGTGGCCTGGGATTAAAAAAAAAAAAAAAAAACCACACCAAAACTATATTTCATGTGGTAAAATGTTTATATCGTCAGAAAAGGGGAAATTACTAGGTTTAGACACTTTGCATGTAAGATGTTTGCAAACACCGACAGCCTCTTTCATTTGTGTCAATGGGCACACTCGTACCTCCCAGGGTGTTCTCTTGTCCTAAATGACTTTGGGTTTCACCGTTCTCCTACTTCTGGTGGTGCAGTAGGGTTAAGGAGAAAACCAGACTGACTTAGGTGGAGGAGTATTTCCAGAGGATGAACGCAGTCAGTCAAGTTTATGTGGGGTTTGTTAGTATTTCATTTTGTTAGCAAAGATTTCCCACTGTTTCGGTTAGGTTTTTGTTTTGTTTATTGGAAGAAAATGGTTTCTTGGTTATTTAGGCCAATAAAAGCTGTTCCTTGATTTTGGCCATTTGGTAACTCCGCCTGTTGTCTGATAATCTGCTGTTATTTGCTCCCCTTCCTGGGACCCTGCTGTGAAATACCATAATTTAAGTTCAGCCTTCAGCTGTACTTGGACAGTAATAGAATTCCTCCCTTTGGCTGTATGCTGTTCGATGGCACGCTCTTAGGTGCTGGCAAGTCGAGCCAAAGTCAAGCTGCAGACAGATTTCATAGGCTTTTTTTTTGTTTACTTTTTAATTTTGACCCATTTCACCAAGTGAAACAGGAGAGGTATGGAGGAGTTTATCATTGCCAAATCCAAGACGTGGCATGGTTCATCGCCAGAGCATCCCATAATCTTTAATGTTTGTCCTCGTCCTGTGTACCTTATGTCCCATAAGGTAGGGAGATGGTAATATCCCTCTTTCACAGCTGAAGAAAATGAGGGTGGAACTTCCTGAGCCCTCTGGCAATGGGACCAGCTTTCAAAGCACTTCTTTGTTCTTGCCCTGTGCCACTGTTTGCTGCTTTCTCGCTTTAACCCTGTGGAGGTGGGAGGAAGGAAGAAGCTTAAGCCAGTTCTACTGCCAAAACCAGAGACTCGTGAAACAATGCCCTAAGGCTCCGAGACACAGGTGCGCAGACCAAGGTCACACAGGAGATGTGGGAGCAGGGGAATCGGGGAAAGGTTTCCTGAGCGTTGGTCTGATGTCTCTGGGGCTGGAGGACTCCTGGCACGCGGGACAGGGATGTGAGGCCACATGGCGGGGCAGGTTCCTGGTTTAAGGCTCTGCACTGGCTTGCGCCCTGGGTGCTGCGGTTGCATTTGGTCATGCAAAAGGTCTGCTTCCTGGCATGGCATCCCACGTGCCTAACGCCGCTTTTCAGTAGTTCCTAGATTTGCTCTTGCATCTTAGGTGGTTTCCGAGAGCTGGTGGAGATACAACAGCGCTGCGCCACAGATGCAGCGGCGCAGATACTGCGGGAGGGACAACTGGAAGAGCAAGTCTCTTACTTGGGTTTTACAGGGTCTTCAAGGTGTGGGATCCTTTTGTCCAAGGCTCTGTGAAGAGCAAGTGACTGAGAAAGACTCACTCCCGTGTCATGTTCTCGGAGGGTGTTTAGCAAATGCCTCGTTCATTCCCGTTCCTAAGTCTTGGGAGAACCTAGCATCTCCCTCTGGAAAAACGTCATTTGCAAGAGCCAGGCTGCATAGTGTATTCCCAAGCCAGGCCTGGGAAAGGGAAAACTGCAAACCTTCTCCCTAGGCTGCAGCAGGAAAGCCAGGTACGTGCTGTTTGCGGCCTCCTCTGCGCAGAGGTGCCCTGTTGGACCCTGTGGCCTTGACTGAGAATCTGCATGTTACTCAGGTCCTAAATGGGAAGTTGTGTTTCTGTCCTGGGGCTGGAAGCAGAGGGAAGACCCAGAAGGACTTGAATGGGGGGGGGGGGCCTCTCCTCTCTGCCCCTCCCCTTTCCCAGGGGTAGCGGGAGCAGGTTAGCCAGCGGGGAATGGCAGTGAGAGAGGGAGCTCTGAGGGTTGCAGACGCTTGACAGCTCGTGATGAATCACGCACTTGGACTCGGAACAAATAACTCCTGTTGGTACGGAACGGGCTGCGCAGCGTGCGCTGGCGGCTGGGAGGGGAGTGAGTCAGCGCTGGGGAGTCTGACTCAGGGGCCAGCAGGGCCACTTGGAGCCACTTCAGCCTCAAGTGCGTCCCAGGGAGCGCTCTCGTGGATCATCTTTGTATTCACTCACTGGTTTGGTGGCGGTTTTTTTCCCCATCTTGACGTCATTTCTGTGGGTTTTCTTTATTTCAGTAAAAGGGGCACTTAAATAGGTGACTAACTGCTCTTTATTTATAGCACTGCCTGTTCAACCCCTGCAGATCAATGAAAGTGCTGACCTGAAACCGTTTGGGAAATTGGGGTGAACAGAGCTCAGTGGCACAGGATGCGGCGCAGACCTCGGGGCTTGCTGTTGAAGGGAGCTCTGCCTGCTGGAATTGATTAACTGCAGCCTCAGACCAGCAACCTCTAAACTGGCACTTCTTAAAGGATGTGTTATCACCTGCAGACTGCCCTTTTCTAGCGCCAGCGCACGTCTTTGTGCAGTGAACAGGATCGAGGAACTGATCTAGCTGAAACAATCTTTTATTTTTTGCTCCCAGTCCAGTTCACCACACGGTCCCACATGTGCTGTGCCAGTGTGTGGAGGGAGGCGGCTTCCTCTCCCTGCCTGCTCCCTTTAAGTGTTCGCTGAGCTGGAACACTACGCGGTTAAGTTGTCTGATTTTCTTGCAGTAATTTAACAACTTCCAGTTCCATTAGCATTGCAAAGGATTATCTCTTTGGGTAAATAATTTGCCTTCATTTCACTGCAAAGTGATGACTTCAGTGCTACAGAGCCTTACTCGTGTTTTTCAGCTGGTAGGGTCATTACACACCAAGGCAATTAATGAGAGCAGAAAGTGAGCATGGAGGGCTGCAGGGGTCTGTGTGTGGATATTGACCCGTTGCTCATCAGCGTCCATCCTCCCTCATTAAAGCACTGTCTGTTGCTGGGTGCTGTGGTGTGACTGCACTAAAGTGTGCGTAGGGGCTGTTGGGAGAGCCTCCTGCCTGCTGAATTCATGGAGTGGCATTAAGCAGGTGTTTCATTTCGAAAGGAATAGTCCTTTATGGTATATATCTCATGTTGTGGGTCAGGCATGAATTACGTGAAGATGATGGGTGTCTCCTTGCAGGTTTCTCTGCCTCTCTGTTTATTGTCACCTTAACCACGGCGCTTCTTGGCTTGCAGTGGTTAGCCATCACTGGAGCATTGCCCTGCCCGAGGGGAAAATGGCTGTCCTAAAACCAGCCCTTTCTTGAAAGAAGGGGGAATACCTCCTTGTCTGAATGCTTGTTCATCTGCACGTTCACGCTGTGGGTGCACAAGCATCTAGCCTTGTTGGGGAAAATGTGAGAGCCTGAGCCCTGCTAAGGGTGTTGCCTGCTCCCCAGGAAGCCTGCTGGCTCCCATCCTGGTAGGGAGAGCTGTCTGGCTGCCTCTGGGTCTGTGCTGGGGCCCTGTCCAGCTCTCACAGGCTTCTGTGAAGTCTGGTGACCACCACAGCCTGTTGGAGACTTCAACAGGAACTACAGAAAGCCTGAAGGGAAGAAAAACTCTTGAGATTTCAGCCCCTGTGAAACGGTGCAGGGTTATATAGGCCTTGTGCTCTTTGCGTGCTTTGGTTACCCCAAAGTCAGTCACAGGATCTGCTCTGTGACTTTCTCGTGACCTCCAGGCTTCCCGCTCTCATCTGCCAGCCTTCCCCACAGCACCCTGAGAGACGTTTCATGTGAGTCCTCCCAAAGATGCAACTATGGCACCACAAGGAATGTTCCTGTGCTTGGAGGGAAAGGTTCAAAACCACCTGGGGCTCCACCGCTGCCAAAACAAGGGGTTCCTTTGCCTGCTCCTACGCAGGGCACCTTCCCTGGGAGGGCTGTTTGCAGTTTGGGTCTTCTCACCAGCAGCTGAGATCATTTGTCAGGGGTGCAAAGCCCAAGCTGGTGAAGATCGCATTGGGGCAGGATTTGAGCTGGAGAGTTACAAATTACCATTACATTCAACCCTGCTAATGGGCCGAGAGCCCAATGCCAGCTTTTCAACTTTTCCCAGCTGTGTAACTGCTCCCAGTCAAGCCTGTGCAGAGACCAGTGCTGGAGGATGCTCTGCTTGTGTTCCGATTCCTCTGTAGGGTTCTTCACTCTCTGCTGAAGAGGACCCTCCACGTTGTTATCGCTCAACTTTTCCACCCATGTTGTAGAAAGGTTTCCCTTAAGGGACCACCTTCAGCTTCCTGAGGGAGATGGCTTTTTTTCTAATGAGTGCCCTCAGGGCTTGCCTGGAGTTTTTGGGCTGTGCAGTGTTATTATCAAAACTTTGATTTTTTTTTTTTTTTAATTGCTTGTACCTGTCTCTAGCCATATTGATATTCTGCAGCAGCCTCTGTGAGAAATACGGCAGATCCTTTGTCTGCCTGATTCCTAAGATCTTTTACTCTGTCATATGCCACTGTAGTGACAGAAGGTCACTCAACAGTGACAGTGAGATCTTTGAGCATTTATCTGTCCTCCATCAGACTGTAGTGACAGAAGGTCACTCAACAGTGACAGATCTTTGAGCATTTATCTGTCCTCCATCATGAGGACCATTTCCTCCATTGCTTTTGGTTCCAAGTTTTTCCAATTTCAAGTCAGAGAATGTCAGCTAATTCCAGCTTACTCT